CTGGCTGTCATCCTCGGACACCCTGAGCTCCATGCCATGTGGTATCCCCCAAGTGACAACTTGCTTCATCGAGCCTACAAAAGGGAGATTTACCAGCAAGACAAAAACCACAGTCTCTTGTGACCTAATTATGCAAGCAATAGCGCAATCCCTCTGACATATTCTATTGGCCAGCAGCAAGTCACGGCTTCTGCTCAAACTCAAGGGGAAAGGATTGGACAAAAGTGTGCATATTAGGAGACTTGTGTCACTGGGGGCCATTTAAAGTCTGTGTGCCACATACAGAGAGGGTATGTAATTTACTGTTTTAGCTGTCCAGGTGGCTGTAACAAAATACCAGACTGGTGGCTTGTAAATAATGGATTTTTTTTCCTCATAGTTCTGAAGGCTGGGAAGTTCCAGATCATGGTGCCGGCAGATTCAGTGTTTGGTAAGAGCTGGCTTTACTATAACCTTACATGGCAGAAATGGCAAGGGATGCTGTGGGGTGTCTTCTATATGAACAGTAATCCCATTCATGAGGGTCTATGCCTTCAAAACTTAACACCCCCTGAAGGCCCCACCTTCCAATGCCATCATATTGGGGATTAGGTTTCAACATACAAACTGGGGGGAAACAAAGCCATTCAATCTGTAACACTTACCCAAGGATTAGAAGCTAACAGACAACTAAGCCAGTATTTAGCACCAGAAATCTAGCTCTGAAGGAAAGTAAGGAGCAAACACTTTTGGAAACTAGGCTATGCATAGAAACGAGTATGTACTTCTATTTTATCATCTTCTGGATGCACCACTAAAATAAAGATTGCTGAAAATGTAGGCTTTTTTGGTGGTTGTTAATTTTAATCCCCACACATGTTTTCAAAAAGTTTGAAAACAACATTATGTGGCTTTAACTAATTAGAAGATATGGTGACACTATCTTCTCCATGCTTCTGTGGCAACAGATGTTGACTAGAGCTAAGCAACAGCTTAGTAACAGTGTGCTTTCTGATCACAACTCACTTTTCGTTCTTGAACGGCATTTAGCTGTAGGCATTTGACTGGGCTGCCATTGCAATTGAGCAGAGAGTACAGTAGCCCTGAGAGCTGAATCGTGAGCTCATGTGTGGGGTAAATTAGAAGTGGTTTCTCCCAGATAATCTGACATATCTAATTTCTTAGAATAATGTGAAATTTATGCATAGAAATTGGATATGCCCCCCCAAATATGCGATTAGCACAGCAAAGAAAATGATTAAAAAGACATCCTTATTTCCCCACCAGAGAGAAGGCTGCTTGCTTGTCTGCGTGTGCACAGACTAGTTCTCCCTAGGGGTAGTATCTGAACTGAAAATATATCACCTTAGAGGCACTCAACAGCATTTCTGGGAATAGAATTATTCATTTGTTCCTTTATTTTGGTCAATGGATCTATATTCTTATTGCTAGGCACTATGTTAATGAATCTAATTATAGTGGCCCAAGCAGCGAAACATTGGAACGCACACAATAGATCATCTCAACAATGTCCTATAGCAAGCTCGTGGTGTACAGAAAGAAAACCTGGGTCTTCTACCTCATCCAACATTCCGGGCTGCCTTGGTTCAAATTTCCTTCATTATTTATATAAAATTGCAAAGTTGATTTGTGGTTATGAACATTATCCTAGGCAGGCTGTTTCTAAGTTACTATATATAATTGTGTTAATTGTCATATTCTTCATAACTCAAATAAACTTACTTAGGAAATATAATTACAGCTACTAGATTCTAAACTCTGGCAATTAGATGATTCAAACTGGCTCTTTCTCTCTTGTAATTCCTTAGGAACATATTATAAAAGAGGAATGGTATTTCCCACCACAGTCCCAGTTGGTAATTCTGATTGTCCCATGATTTCACAGCTGCAAATCAGCCCCCACCCTCTCACACTTGTCTCTGGCTAATGATGCTTTCCTTAATTAGCACATGACTTAAGCTTTAGTCCTGACTTATCTGCTGCCCCAGTCGCTGGGCTACCTGAGTGCAGGCTGGTCTAATTGGGAAAGAAAACCTACTTGAACATTGGTGCCATTTGTTCTGACATTGAACGAAGGGAAGAGCAATTCGTCTGGTTGTTGAATTTGCTCTCTTTATCAACTGAATTTGCATTCTCGGACAACTTTTCTCTCCAACAATCTGTCTAGGCTTTGTGCTTCTATTTGTGGGTTTTCTTCTTTTGGTTTTTTGTACCTTCCCCAACTTGAGAATGGCCTCTAGAAAAAGCTGCTGGGAGCTTTGCCTTGACTAAGTCCGCGTGAGACAGCCGGCAGAGGGTGATCTGAGGAGACGCAAGACCCTCCTCTCTAAGGTCAAACCAGTTACTGACCTTTCCTCCTTTTTGACTCTAAATTCCCAGGATCCCTGTCACACCTCTGGACAGTTAAGGTACACAGATGGTAGCTTTGCTCTTGAAGCTTATGTCAAATACACGCACATGGGAGAGGAGGGCATATTTGAGCAAGCTTATGATCCCTGACATACTCTCTTCTTGCCACTGATGCATTTCCTTGAAAAGTCACCAAGAAAAGGTTCTCTGAGGAGTTAGGATGTAACACAGAAAATGAAAATGGGGATAAGATGAAATGGGAGAAATACACATTTTGTTTTTGAAGTGACAAATATTCATTATCTGTCATATACTATACACGGAGGTATAGTAAATACTAAGGGGAGACATAAAAGCAATGCAAACCTGCTTCCATGGGTCTGGAGATGACCTATAATCTGACATACAGGTAACATTGGTAGGACATCCACGGAAGTGCTGAATGTAGATAGGATGCGCTACAGAAGTCCCTTGCGGAGATAATGAGATTAAAGCTGTGTAATTTTGAGGGAGGAAGTTCAGACACTATCATTATGTGAGCACAGGCAACTTGGAATCAGACTGTGTGCAGCATGTGGTGGAGAAACAAAGGAAACTAATCAGGCTAGGATGAAAGATTTACTTTGAGCACTGAAGATGGAGTTGGGACTTCACTTCACGGGCATGAGATAGCCACCACATATACTATATATGAATAGAGAAATAACAAGATGAAATGGATGTCTTTGGAAGAACTATGTTGGTGGTAGGTTTCAAGTGGGAACCAGTGGAGGAGGAAAGACTGGTTAGGCAATGGCAGAAATTCAGATTTGTCTAGCATAGCAACCGGGAATAAATGTGAAAGATAAGAAGAAAGGATATTTTTTTGATTACCTGGATATGAAAAATTATTGAGATGGAAAGGGCAAGGAAGACTGTGAGGTTTACAGACTGATTCAACTGGAGGGGGTGGGCAGTGGTGACCCAGTGTCAGAAGACCTAGTAAAGAGGAAAGCCCCAGATTTCAGTGAGTATAATCATGGAATCATGAGATTTTAAACCTGGAAAGGGCTTTAGAGATCATCTGTTGTAGCCTCTTCATCTTTAGAAGGGCAAACGAGGCCAAAGGAAGATATGTAACTCAATCTAGGACAGTAGTGACTCAGTCCAGGACAGTGAATGGACTATGGCAAAAGTATAGCAACACTCACATCTTCTCCCACCAGGTCATCTTGCCTGCTTCCCTGTCCGTTCTGACCAGTTGTCTGGACAGTCTGTCTGAAACTCTACACTGAGGACCACAGCCCATGTGCAGCCCAATTAGACAAAATCAGAAAATTAAGACTGAATTTTCCAAAAAGCTAAATTCACTCATTTAAAGAAAGGGCCGTTACTCTTTATGTCCTATCTAATAAATGGCGTGAAAACCTCCTTTGTTTACGAACTGCGGCACTGATATGAGCGGTGCAATGTTTGTTGTCTTTCTTAGCACAAGAAAAAGCTATTACTCTAAGTGCCTTTTAAGCTTTCTTTTATTTTAAACTGGTTTTTAAAATCTAAGAGTCTCAGGGTCATTTCTTTGCAGGCTGTCAAATCTATCTTTCCCAAGACACACCAGTAGGGTCCCCGTCCGCAGGGCCAGGATTACAGCTAACCTCTCTCATCATAGCTCTCCTGGGCTAGGACTGGGCAGCAGTCTAAGCGAAGGGCACTGGGGTAGGGGTGAGGGAATACGGGTCACTTCATCACCCTGCACTTTGAATCACTGTCCTTTCTGTTCCTCGACCATAGACGAAGGCTTGGTGGTAGCGGTGGGGTAAATGGAGCCAACTGTTCGATATGGCCACGTGGTACTTCTTTAGTCCGCAGTCACTTGTAAACTACCCTGCAAAAGCAGCTTCATGCCATCTTTTCAGCTCGATCGCGTCGCCTTTTCCAGGTGGGTAACCGCACTGCTGTGATCTGTGTGGAGAGTCCTCAGTCCTTCACAGAAGTAGACCTTGGTGGGCTGCCCGTCAGGGTTCTAGAAAAGCCTTCAGATGCTTGAATCCTCTGAGCTGAACTCAAGTCCCAGGCGAGGTTGAACCCACAAGGGTCAGGGCGCTGAGTCATGGGACTTGGGCGCTTTGAGTTTAGCAGGCAGCACTGAAGACTCAGTGAAAGCTGGCTGGTTTCCTCCCATATAGGACCTAACAGGAAGAGCACTGCACGGAGAGTTAAGGGGCCTGGGCTGCTGCTCCTAGACTTCAGGGGCGTAAATAATTCACTGTACTTGGGCCTGCTTACCCAATTCCCAAATTACAGGAATACGAGATTCTACACCGGACCAAGAACTGGAAGCACTCTGCCCAGAGGGGCCACGAAGGGGCCAGTGGGAAACTCCCGCAAGACTCTCCCCGCCCACGGATCTCCACACCGACTCCCACCCCAAGTCGGTTAGAATGCGAGTGGGAAGCGTGCGCGCCCCCGCCGACCTCGGCGTGTGCGTTCCAGAGGGGCTCAGCGGGCGCGTCCCCGCCGGGCTCAGCGTGCGCGCTTCCGGCAGGCTTGCCGCTGCTAACGCGGCCACCGCCTCCCAGGCCAAGTCAGGCCAGGTGGGCGGGGCGCAGAGGAGTGGGGCGGGGCGCCCGAGGGGGGCGGCTGCCTGGGGAGGAGGCCGAGTTACCGGAGGAGGAGGAGGAGAAGAGGAGAGAAAAGGCGGCTCCCCGGCGGGGCTGACGGGCAAGAAGGAGGCGGACCGCCCGGGGGTGTGGGGCGCGGAGCGGCTGTGGGACAGCGCGGAGCGGCCGGGTACGGCGGCCACGGCAGCCAGGGCCTGGGCCGCGGTTCGGTAGCGCCGGCCGGTGAGTGTCAGGCGACCCGCAGGGGAGACCTGCGCGGCCCGGGCAGCCCCGGAGATGGAGGCGGCGGCCGGGCGGTGCGAGGCCCGCGGCCGGGTCGGAGGCAGCCGTGGGCTGGGCGGCCGGGCCTGGGGCGGAGTGAACACGGCCCTGCGCCGACCCTGTCGGTCTCCGGCGCTGACCCGGCGCGCCGAGTGGGCGTCCGCGGCGTGGGGTCTGCGCGGATTCTCCTGACGGGCCAGCCGCAGAGACTGTCTGCAAATGGCGACCCAGACCCCGGGGACCGACCCCCGAGTCACCCTGACTTGCTTGTTTATGTGTTGGGGAAGGGTGAAGGAAATTTGGGAAACCCCAAGAACCTCGGAAACCCGGCTTCTCTTTCCTTTTCGCCTGTTAGAAACCTGGCTTCTTTGGGGGGAACAGACAGGTTCAAGTCAGACAGGGAGGCATCTTCAACTGTCTCCACGGGATGTGTGAAGTTGGTAACTTTTCCATTCATGGAAGTGAGAAGCTCTTAGTCTTTCTTAGCCTCAGCCCTTATTAAAGGGAAACTAACTGATTTCACAGTTCTGAGGGGTATGACCATTCCCAAGTTATCTGTGTCCTGTCCCGTGCAAGTACATTGCTTGGAATGAGGCCAAAGAGTGCACGGTGAATTCAAAGCGATCTCCTTGGAGTATGTTTTGAGCGTGTGTATTTCGGAGAATGGAGACTGGCAGAACAGTGTGTTGTTTACCCTGGTTCTAGTATTCCGTTCCTCTCTGCCCCTGTCTTGTTTTTCTTTCTGAGCTATGTCATAAGTCTGAGATAAAAGATGCTTGGGAAGGAATTGACCTTTTATTCCATAATTACTTTGTTGACCGTGATCCAAGATGAAGTTATTTATGGGCATTCTGATAGCAGTGTAGATTAACTTAAAACTCTGTAAATGCAAAACTCTCAACTTTCCAAACTTTAATTTTTGTTTGCCACATTTCATTGCTGTCTTGTGTCTTTCGGAGATCTAGTAATTTATATGAAAAGATTTGGCCTTTGCTCATATTTGTCAGGGTTTTCCAAAGCAGCCCAGTTGTTGACATGGCAAAAGGAATAGGGTAGGTAGGATAAAATGTACGTTTAGGATTTTTCTCAGGGTTCGATTTTTTCAATATGAGATTTTCGCTGAATCACTATTATTTATGCTTAGTCATTATTTCTTACTACAGAAGTTTGGGGATTAGGTGGTATTTTGCTAACTTTTTAGTGTGCAAGTTTTTTTTTTATCTGGTACTTTTATGCAGTGACATAGCTTTTTTTGTGATTCTGGAAATGTTAGTGGGTGGAGTTTTGTGAGTGTTATTAGAGAGTTGAAGTTGCCTGTATAGGCAAACTTCAATGCATTCCAAGTGTAGTGGGTATTTAATTTCAATATTTCTCCATGTCTAGTACTGAAGACATTCTTAAAATACAAAGTGCCCTAATAAAATATAGTATTAAAGAGCAATCATACATATTTTGAGATACTGTTTATTATTAGAGAGGTGCTTTAAGGTCATTAAAATAGGCATTGTTAATGTGTGTTTACTATTTGATATAGTATGTTACTAAAATGTGACTTTTCCTGGGATAGGTCCTATGCTACTCTGCATGGTTTTGGTGTAAATTTTTTAACTGAGTTCCTACGACTGCCCGTTTCATTAAAGGAATAGTACATGCTCTGAAATGACACTGTAGTTATAGAATTCTTGGATGTTAAGGTCTTCACTCAAAAAGCTATATAAAATACTATTTAATTTCAAATTCAGTTTGATGAAATAGGTGCCACTGGCCTTCTGCTAGTGGTTTTCACCTTGTAAGTAGCTAGGTAGTTTAGCATGGATAAGCATGCCTGGATTAAAAGTCATTCTGTGAAAATCCTTTACAAAAAGGGTGTGTCTTTTTTTAGAGCAGGTAATGTTGGCATTAGGTAGTTCCTCATATGCTTGTTTTTAAAAAACTTTACAAATGACCTGATTTAAAATATATTTATACATAAAGCTTTGTGTATATAAATGGGTGTGTAAAGTGAAGTACATCTATTTTCCGAGGAAAACATGTTTGTACCCTGCTGGTCACGCACATTAATAGTAACCAGGCTTTGTAGAGTTCAGTGTAGTTTTCCCAGTAATTGCTGCAAGGTCACAGAGTTGACATTCCTTTGAAGCCCATTCCCCTCTGCCATGCTGCCCGTTGTAATAAGCTGAGTTCCACTATTTGGGTGGATTATTTTTATCTGAGTATTAAATAGATTCTGGTCTCAGTATTAAATATTTGATACTTTTTATTTTAATTTCTGATGTAAGTCTAATAATTTCATTTTCTTAGTGGAGAACATGGCAAGTAATTAGAACTTTCACTTTGGAAGCTACTCATGACTATATTTAGAAATGAAGAAATGTAAGTTTTGATTATATCGTAATGAGAAGGCTAAACACTTGAAAAAATTTGCATATAACTAGGTCATGATACTATAAATAAAAAGAAGTCAGAACCGAAATTTAATAAGAGAATATACAGTGTAACCCATTTAGCTCTTTTGGACTCATCAGGAAAGCTTGTGCTTTGAGTTTTGTGAGTTTTGATAGTGGGTTTTCAATCTTGTCTAGTTACCCCCCCTTTTATAAATCAGGGAAATAGGATGTCCAACCGAGGTTATAGATGTATAGTAGTCTTTAAAATGAGTGTGGATGATCGATCACAAATGAGGCAGCAAGTGATTGTGTGTGCTGTGCAGCTGCGCCTTTGACTAGACAAGAAGGATGAGGCTTATGGAGGAGCTCATAACTCATTGCTGAAGTTGAAATTTTAGTTGTAGACTGACTCGTAAGGGTTAGCTGATGGAACAAGTCTAGTTCGATTTCAGCCTTACAGTGAAGCAATATTTTTTGTTCTGTTCCATCTACTACCATATTAATTATAATATTAAGTAGGTAGGCCAATACCACTTTCTTTTTAGAGCTTCTTTCCCTCACCTCGTGCCTACTCAGCACCTGCATGTGTGCAGACACTTCACCCCTGCTTTCCTTTTTGCGTCTGAGGACTCCGTATTCAGTAGCCAGTAACCAGACTGATGGTTGGTTAGGGAATTAAAATTGTGGAACAGTATCCAGGTAACTGTTTCCTTCTGTGTCTTTTATTACTATTCTCTTCTAAGATTTAAAAACGTGGAAGATTGGAATTAACATTTTTAAATTTTCTTCCCCCTTTGGTTTGCTTTTTTATGATGGATAACTTTATCTTCCCATCTGATGCCTGGAACACATGAGCTAGGTGCTCAAACGGTGTTGGGTCTCTGTTCACGTTTTATAGCTGGTACACTCAGGTACTTTTGATTCAGTTTCATTGTCCAGTACTAGACTTGTAAAGTTGTATCTTTTTGTGAAGTATGTAGTTTTCCATGAAATTAAGAACCTCGTTTTGTTTTGGAATCCATTTGGCTATTTCTTTTATTATAATTCTTTTGTTTAAGGTCAGTGAGGAACACTGTTGAATACAGGGAACACAGAACTGAATGAGACAGCGATGGCCCTGCCTCCTTCATGACGCTTAGAGTTTTCTTGTGGAGACAGACATTCAGCAGGATAAGGATTTGCTTAGAGTCGTGACCAGTATTACCAAGGAATAATGCAATAACGAGCATGGAGTGTGATAAGGGCTTCAGACTCCTCTTTGGGTATGGGGAAATGTGACATTTAGGCTGAGACATTGACTTGAGGCAGCCGTTGGGGAGCGAAAGAGGGTGTGTGTGTGCCACGTGTGTGTGTATGTCTCGGAGGCAGAAGAGGACATTAAGAACAACCTGAGGCAGCAAGCTGTGTGAGTACTTTGGGTGACTTGATTTAGCATATTTTAAAATTGTGCTAATTTGCACTGTTTTGTGATTTATCACCTTACATATTTTAATAAATCTGGAAAAATAAACAATTTTTTTGAGAGCCATATCTTCAAGTCTAGAAATAGCCTTAAATGACAAGGCCTAATTTCATCATATGGGAAAATGCCATGTCTTACAACTATTTTTATGGATTGCTTGTCAGCCACAGCGTATGAGTTGGCCAAGAATTCCTGTTAGGGAAAATTGAATCTACTGTAAAGCACTTAATCATTCACAGCTATTTTCTCATCAAATGAAACTTTTCCATTTGTTTGAAATGTTAAGATTCTCCTTCTAGATAGTTCAAAAAATTCTTAATATTGAGGAGTTTTCAATGAAGCTCAACTTCAACTTGAAACCTCAGTTTTAGCAGCTTGTTTTCTCCTGGGCCTGCTGTGTCACCATTGAACTGATAGAACAGGGGCTGATGTTTTTGAGCCCGTGTCACAGGATTTAGGAGCAACGTGATTTATCTCTAATTGGATAATAGTGATCTGGGTTAGAAAGAGGATGGCTCTGGAAGTTTTCAGTTCTGAAGTGGAGGTTTGTATCCCCAGATCATTCTTTGGGTATTGTTGAGTGCACTTTCTTATTTCTCAATACGTTTAGTAGTAAAATAGAATTAAACTTGATTCCTTTTTCGTACAACTATTTGAAGAATTATGTGATTTATATTGTTCCATACATTTATGGTAAGCATTATGAAAGTTAGTTATTCATTAAATAATTTAAAATGGCTACATTCAAAGCAGAGTAATGTGCTGTCATAATTAGACAGGATCAAAAAGGAGGCAGGACCATCTTCGTCTCATTCAGTTCCCGACCACAGGGGTGATTGTGTTGGAATAAACTACAAGCAAAGTTGTGCAATCTCCATTCCTGAAATAACATCTTAAAATTGTATTACCAGTTACCAGAGTGCTGCCTTACTTTCTTAAACAATTTATAAGTAAACATGCCTGTTACTGTCCTTGTGCATTGATCAGATATAGATTTGAACCCTAGCTCTGCCACTCACGAGGTGGACGGCCGTGGGCAGATCTCGAACTCAGTCTTTCTGAAGCTCAGTTTCCTCCGGGCTGTTATAAGCATTGTAGTATGAGGTGAGGAGACATATGTAAAGAAGGACAAAATAGGTACATAGTTAATGTTTTTTTCCTTTCCTCTAAGTCTACTTCAATGTATAGTAAATATTTTGGACTCATTGCTGCAGATGTTTTTATTTTCATTTTTGACATTTTCTTATTCAGAGTAGAATAGTATGCAGGAAGTTGTTTATGTTGAAGCTGGGGAGGCTTCTGCCTCTACCTTTCAGAGTTGTTGCTGTTTTGCATTTAATTCAGTTGTTTGTAACAGGTGTTATTTTTAATGCTTTTGAATTAAGTGTGGTTTTTGAGCTGCGTTCTGTCTGGTGTGGTCATGTGATCTGTACATAACATAAAGTGCTCCTACGAGTTCTGAGAGCAATGGTCACTTCTTTCAGAACTGCTTGTATTTTTAGGTTTCTTTCTTAGTAACAAGCTTATTTCAGCAAGTGAGATGAACTCAGTCTGGTTGCAAAATGAGAAAGCTACAGCTGTTTTCACAATCTAATCACTCAGAAAAGTTTGTCTTAATTCTTAAAAAAGTTTCTTTTTAAATTTCTGCTTCATTTACAAATTTTTTTTTGTGGTTAATCTGTCATTTCTTCTATTATGTCTCTTTTAGCGTGTGTCTTTTTAATGTATAGGTTCTGTCATTACCTATACAATTTATAGGGTTAAGTATTCAAAAGTATATTTAGCTCTGACTGATTAGGTGGGTTGGTTACAGCATCCTCCCGAGAGCCAAGGTTTTGAGTTGATCCTGGGTCAGGGCACATACAACCAATGAATGCATAAATAAGTGGAACAACAAATCAATGTCTCTCTCTCTTTCTCTCTCATTTGTACTCTCTCTTCCTTCCTCTTGTTCTCTAAAATCAATAAATAAAATATTTTAACAAGCATATTTAACTCATAATTTTTAATTTTTAAAAAGTTTAAAAAATACAGTTTTGTTGATAAATGTTTGCTTCCTTCCCACCCCTGGCATCATTAAGCACCATAATGTCAACTCATAATTTTTCTACTTACTTAACAAAAGTCTATCAATAATTGGTAGACTTTTGTTTTTGTTTTTAGTTTGAAGAAAATCAGACCTGGACTTAAAAAAAAAGAAATAGCAATTTGGGGAGTAATTAGTTTACATTAGCCACCTGGAACCAAAGTAGAGTTTATGGAAAAATATTTCAAAGAGCTAGCAATCTTTTATGCACTGAAGTGAAGAAAATAGGCTAAATAGGCTAATAACCAGCATCTTATTCAGAAAATTATTATCTACTACAGTGTACTTTAACTTGGGAAATGTTGTGGTGAATTGCCTGTGCCTTATACAGGAGAGATGTATGAGTACTTAGCTAGCTGTAGAGAGAGATCTGAAGTGTGGGAGAGGGGGCGGGGCAGAAGATACAGATGAGTTTTCAGAATACTGGTGCTCATTGAAGTTTCTGAGAAATTGAGAGCACCCAGGAAGAGACTGTAGAGAAGAATGAGCAAGCAGTGGCATGGATCCCTGGAAAAGAGTAATATTTTAGAAGAGTTTAAGAGGTAGGGGGGAAACCAGGAACTGTGACATCAAGAAAACTGAGAAAAAACAATAGTTTAAGAGGAGAAATTAGTCTGCATAATGATACAACGCCCAAGGAAGATGGGATCTGGAAAGGAATGCCCTTTGGGCGCAGCGCTGAGCATCGGAGGGAGGCACGCAGCTTTATAATGAGTCGTGGGAAACACAGAAGCTAGATTAGAGGGCTGCGGAGTGTTGGGGAGATTCGAAGGGTTTTGTGGATAATTTTTCGTTTTTCTTCTGGGGGATGTTGCTTCATTATTTAGGTTTTTAAAGATGAAAATAGTCTTTCAAGTTTTTACGGCTAATAGGAACAAGCCAATAAAAAAGTTGAATGTTACAGGAAAAAAGAGACACCAAAAAGGCCCAGGAATTAAATCAATATGTTGTGCTGATGCTTTCTCTTATTTTTAGTATATGTGCTGCCGAAGCGAGCACTGCTTTCTCTTATTTCTATATAAAATTCGATAAAAGCAGGAAAGACCACTGGGTATCTGTAATCCCCTCATGTTATTTTCTAGATACTATTTCTTTGTTTAAAATTCTCAGTGACTTCAAATTAAAGTCTGAATTCCTTAGAGTGGCATATAGTATAGTCTTCATGATTTGCCTTATTCCTGTCCGTCCTTATCTCTCACAGCTCCCTTGAGTTTCACCTTGTGAACCAGCAGCTCGGGGAAACCTGAAGTTCCCTGAACATGTTTCGCCAGTTCTTGCTTTTCTGCATTTTCTTATGCTGTTACTTCAGCACTGAATGCCTCCCTTCCTTACTAAACTCCTCCCTATCCCTGCCATAAGACTTCTCTTCTTTCAAGATTCGTGTGAATTCTTCTCTAGTCCCTACCATTACTGATTATTATCATCTTGTGTTGACAGTTTACTTCTGTCGTACTGATCACATAATAATGTAACATGACTTTTACCTTCTTTGACATCCTACTACATAGCTCCTCGATAGGAGGCACTGTGTCTTATTAATTTTGATAATGCCACACCAGGCACAGTGTCTAGTATGTGGTTGTTAGACAATAAGTAGATGTTTATTTTAATGAATGAATGGAAACTGTGGCCCTGAGAAGTATGTGATTTGTTCATAGCCAATAAACATGGAGCCAAAACTTGTATTTTCTGGGTGAATTCTTTGTGTGTTTTAATGAAGGCTTATTTATTGATTTGTTGTAGAATTTATTAAGACATATGTAGAAGGAGAGATCAATAGATGAAATTTTTAGTTCATATATAGAGGGAATAAAAAGGAAACTTCTAATAAAGTTTTAGTTAAGTATTTTTTTGAAATTCAGATTATTCTCCTAGGAATATGATGAGGTCTCTGAATTTGGGGTACATCAGAATCAGTTTAGTTGAAATTAAAAAGGTAAAAGTTAAAGCAGTCTCTGAAATTTGAATGTTAAATATACATTAACTCATCTTTGGTATTATTGACTACTCAATGTACTAGAATTTAAGTATTTTGTTTTGTAACTTTTGGCCCTTTAAACATATTGTTATCTGGTTTATAAAATGAATTTTTATGACATTTTAGTTAAAGTGCTGAATTGTTACTTGAAATGCTTAAGTTTCTGGTGGATAAATTATTTGTAAAAACTTTATATAGATTTCATTCTAAAATAAGCCAATACACCTTCATGATTTGATTTATATTCTCAACTAATTTTAAAATGGACCATTTTTTGCCTAACTTATTATCTTTTTTCTATCTTAACAACCAGAACTGGACTGGCCACTATGGCGGAGGGGCTGCAGCATTCGCACTGTGTGAACTGTGTCAGTAGACGGTGTATGACCAGACCAGAGCCTGGGATTTCCTGTGACCTGATTGGTTGTCCGTTGGTTTGTGGGGCAGTCTTCCATTCTTGTAAAGCTGATGAGCATCGACTTTTATGTCCATTTGAACGAGTGCCTTGCTTAAATAGTGACTTCGGATGTCCATTTACAATGGCTCGTAACAAAGTGGCTGAACATCTAGAGACATGTCCTGCAAGTGTGGTGTGCTGCACTATGGAGTGGAACCGATGGCCGGTTAGTTATGCGGATCGGAAGTCGTATGAAAATCTAAGCAGAGATGTGGATGAAGTGGCACAATTAGATATGGCCTTGGCCCTTCAAGACCAAAGGATGCTCTTAGAATCTCTCAAAGTAGCCACCATGATGTCAAAAGCGACTGATAAAGTATCAGAACCTAGAGAACAAATATCAGTTAAATCAACTCTTCCAGAGATACCACATGCTAATGGTTTGGTGTCTGTTGATGAAGAATCTTATGGTGCACTTTATCAAGCTACTGTAGAAACAACCAGAAGTTTGGCTGCTGCTTTAGATATCCTGAACACGGCCACAAGAGACATTGGCATGCTAAGTTCGAGCCTTCGTGCTTCTCCAGATGAAATGAATGAAGAGGAAAATGCCAGAGAAAGCTTACAGAACAGGAACTTGAAAGACCAAGACCATCTTTCTGAGGATGAGATGGGAGCAGTTGGTGGTATTGACCATAGTGACCCAGGTCAGGATGCCCAGTCTGAACAAAATGGTTCAAGTGATTTATTATGTGACTTGAATACTAGTTCCTATGGCACTTCGGCTCTTTGTAATGGCCTTCCTTTGGAAAATATATGTACACAGGTCATAGACCAGAATCAGAATTTACATGGCGATTCAGAAGAAAGTAACTTAACAAATGGAGAATGTGTAGCATCAGATGGCACTTCAAAATCTTCTGGTTCGCCTTTAGTAGCAGCACAGCTTAAGGAAGTAGTACCATCTAATGCTTTGCCTAACGGCACCGTTCAGCATATCCTCATATCAGACGATGAGGATGAAGGAGAATTGCACTGGAGAAAAGTAGACTTGGGGGACTTGAGGAATGTGGATGTCTTACCTCTCAGCCAACCTCCTTCATTCAAATTTCTTTCTAATGCATGTTGGTCTAAACCAAGGGAAGATAAAGCAGTAGATACATCAGATTTGGAAGTTGCAGAAGACCCAATGGGTCTCCAAGGAATAGATCTCATCACAGCAGCACTACTGTTTTGTCTAGGAGATTCTCCAGGTGGGAGGGGCATATCTGATAGTCGCATGGTTGATGTTTGTCACATTGACTTTGGAACTCAGACTTTCTCACTTCCATCTGCAATATTAGCTACAAATACAATGGTTGGGGAAATAGCTTCAGCTTCAGCTTGTGATCATGCCAACCCACAACTTTCAAATCCAAGTCCTTTCCAGACACTTGGGCTAGATTTAGTATTGGAATGTGTCGCTAGGTACCAACCCAAGCAACGTTCAATGTTTACATTTGTCTGTGGACAGTTATTTAGAAGAAGAGAATTTTCTTCGCATTTTAAGAATGTGCACGGTGACATTCATGCTGGACTCAATGGCTGGATGGAGCAGAGGTGTCCTTTAGCATATTATGGTTGTACCTATTCTCAGCGTAGATTTTGCCCATCAACACAAGGAGCAAAGATCATACACGACCGCCATTTGAGGTCCTTTGGAGTTCAGCCGTGTGTATCTACAGTGTTGGTAGAGCCTGCCAGAAACTGTGTGTTGGGATTACGTAGCGACCATCTAAGTAGTCTTCCCTTCGAGGTCCTGCAGCACATCGCAGGCTTCCTCGATGGCTTCAGTCTGTGCCAGCTCTCCTGTGTGTCCAAGCTGATGCGGGACGTGTGCGGCAGCTTGCTGCAGTCTCGTGGGATGGTCATCCTGCAGTGGGGGAAAAGGAAGTCTCCAGAAGGAAAGTCATCATGGCAGATCAAAGAAAAGGTTAGTTTCATTTGAACTGTATTATCTCCTTATTTGACATATAATAGGCACTCACTAATGTTGCTGAATTAATAAAGATAATTTTTTAATATTAGTCATCCTTAAAACTTAACATGACAACATATTTTTTTTGGGTGTAATGGTAATTAATGAAAATCTAGGAGAGTTAGAATTGTCATAATCACTTATTTCCTGCACATACCCTATGACGAGATTTTGATCTAACATGGCAGAGGCCCCTGCTCTTCCTTCAGTTGAGCAGTTCTGTGCCCATTTAATTCTTCTGTAGCAATGCCGTTGGTTTGCGGCTGTGTTAACCACCTTCTCCTTTGGGCCCCATCTGAAACGTTGTCACCCTGGGACAATGGGAGAAGCAAGAAGGTTTTTTACTGCTTACAGCTGGGATTTTCTTTTCATTCTTGGCAGTTTCTTTCTTAGGACTTGGTTGTTTCATAGAACTTAAATAGGGAGAGATGAGAAAAAGTAGGAACTACTGGTACTGGGAGGTGACCAGCGGAGTTTTGGGGAAGGTAGACATACATGGTGGATGCAGGTGTGTGGTATGTGGAAGTGGTATGAGAATGGGGCAGAAGGGTTTGCTGTTGTTAGCAGGGACTGTGGGTTTAGCGCAGTGAAAGGGGGTGTTGCGTATTGGAAGCCTGAGCTGGGGATGTAGGCAGACCTGGGAACAAATCCCGGCTCCACCGTTTTCCTCTGGTGACACCCTACTTTTTGCCCAGCTTTTGTCTGAGGCACTGTCCCTCAGAAACTAGAAGGTATTACAAATATCTTTGATTGTAGGTATTTTCATTTCAGAACATTTACCATATGAAACTTTGCATTTATTAAGTGGAGAAGAATTTGATAAACTTTTCATTGGTTGCATGGGTTCAGATTTTTGGCTGTTTTGATTTTCCCACCGTTAGCTTTCTCTTACTTCCACTCATCCCTCCAGTTTTCAGAGTTCTGCCTCTACTTCTTTGCTCTCCTAAGGCTCTGACCAGTAAATAAGCACACTGATTGTTTTATGATTCTTTTTTACAAAAAGGAATTCTGGTGGCCGAAAGTTTCATACTTTTCATACTTGCTGCGTGAACGTGTGTATCTGTGTTCATTTTCATTTTCCAGATGACTTGGTGTCTTTCTCCCATTTGGGATGGAACATTCTGCGTGTGTTCTTGGGCTCTTTTGGTCTTTACCCACCACTACGGACCTATGGATGAACTGTTTTCTGGGGTTCTGTTCCAGCAGAATACTGTATCTATGCTTGGTGTTTAAATTGCCATCTTTATTTATTTTTTTAAAAGATTTTATTTATTTACTTATTTATTTTTTAGAGAGGGAAGGGAGGGAGAAAGAGAGAGAGAAACTTCAATGTGCGGTTGCTGGGGGCTGTGGCTTGTAATCCAGGCATGTGTCCTGACTGGGAATTGAACCTGCGACACTTCGGACACTTCGATTCGCAGCCTGCGCTCAATCCAGTGAGCTATACCAGCTAGGGGTTAAATTGCCATCTTTAGTACAGATTACTCACACGTCTATATCCTGGCCACTTTAGCTCCGTCCAGACCATTATATATTGTACCAGCATGTCCTGGACACCTCCACTCGATCATTTCACAGCTTCATCAAACTCAGCATGTCCAACCTATTCCACTTCTCTCTCTTAATCTCAGAAAGTGGCATTATCTTTTACCAGATCGCCTAAACTAGGAGTTTGGCACTTGTGGTTGACTCCACTCCCTCCCTCTATTTCCATATCCTGGTAATCACAAAGTGCTGCTGCGTTCCCTTCCTCATTCCTCTCGGGTTTGTTTTACTGTTTCTACTACCACTTCCCTGCTTCAGTCCCACCTGCTGGTCTCTCCTGGCTTACTGTAGTAGCCTCCTCCTACCAGGGTTTCTGTTTCCAGTTGTGCTCCTCTTCAATGTAATCTCTGCATAAGAACTAGAAGGACAAGTGTTTTCTTAAGTACAGTTCTTACTGCAGTGTTTAAAAACTTCAAATGTCCATTGCCCTGGGATAGAGACAGGTTCCTTAATGAAACCTTGAGGGTTTTTTGTAATCTTGTCCTTCCTTACCTCTTCAGTTTCCTCTTGTCACTTTATACTCCAGCCGCATTCATTCACTTACGGTTGCCCGAGGCCTTTGAGTGTGCTGTCTCTAACACATTTGAGCACTTACACTGTGCTAGACAGTGGGCTAACACGCATTTTACCTTCTTTAATGTCTGTAATCCACTGTCCCTATTTTATGGAAGAAGAAATTGAGGTTTAGAGAGATTTCAGTAACTGGCCCAAGTCTCTATGGCTTCAGACCTAGGGAACTTGCCTCTGAAGCTTGTGATCTCCATACTCTTGCTGTGTCCGGCTTACTCTTCAGCTCTTAACCCCCTCAAGTGAGGCCTTTCCTAACCCCCTCTGGAATGTGCAGGGGGGTTCACTGCTCTGAGTTCTTTTGGTGCCCCATTATAAATACCTCTACTTTATATATCCCTGTGAAAGCACTCAACATGCTGCTTTGAAATTCACTGGTAAATTGCCATTTTCTTTCATTGGACTAAGTTCCTTGAGAAGTAAGACTCTCTGGGAACCAGAATATCTATTGCCTAGCATTGCACCTGCCCATGTAGCAGGCACTACCTAAGTATTTGAATGAGAAATGGGCCTATTACTAAGAAACCTCGTCATCAGGAAGGGGGAGCCATCCATTTTTTCCTGAGTTTGTTTTACCAGGCTCTCTGTGTGGAAGTAGGTAGGCAGTCTGCCACCATTGAATCTTTCAGCTAACTAGTTCTGCTGGAGCTTAACGAAAGCTCCTAATTCCTCCCTTATGGGGTATGGGGCATTATAATCTACAATGCCTATTGGTAGCTACTCCCTAGACCTTCACTGACTCCTGAAAATTGACTCCGTTTGGGTACTTGATGTAAATCCTCGGGAGTACAGCAAGTAAGTACTCCATGCACTAGACAGTGGTAGCTTCTAATGCCGACTGAAAAGTAATTCTGCTGGCTCAGAATTTTGAAGACATCTGGCCACCCCGGAAGTCATTGGCGGCATTTCCTGAGAAGCTCTAATGAGTGCTGAGGTCTTCCCTCAAACCCACTGCCCCCTCGTAGAGTGACTGCTGCTTTACTGTGCACTCTGTGTCCTCTCCGTGACTGGGCATTGCCTGTGGTGAGCTCAGCTGGCCTGCTTAGGCCTTGTCTTGTCCCATTCATCCTTGTTACCTAGGTCTGCCCTGCTCCACTCATGCTTATTACCCGCATCCAGGTAGCTTTATATTTTGAATGGTAAAGATGTGAGGGGGCCACAGCAGTCATTGCTGGACTAATGCAATGACAGTGCTTCAGGGCTTGGAGCTGCTGAGTGGCCAGAAGGGGAAGCAGCCCGTAGTTTTCCCAGCAGGCACATAAACAGGGATAGCAGGGGAATATTTGCCCGGAAATGCATTTTACAATGATAAGGAGTAAAATAAAATTCATTTTACCCAAGTTCTTTTTATGTAAATTTTCAGAAACGTTTTGAACAAATTGAAGCGCCTGTATTTATTATTACTAAGTACCTTTAGTTTATAAAGAATGGAAAGTTAAGGTCTCTTGGCACAGTATTCTCTGGTATTTATAAGTGTGCTCTATATAGCGTAATGGGAGTGGGAGAAAACCGGATAAAGAATAATACTTGTATTGGCTGTCTCTCCAGACTACAGGTAACTCTATGTAGCAATTGGATAGAAGGAAAGAATAGTGTACAATATGTATAATTTTAGGAAGTATTTCTGAATTCATGAGGTTATAATTTTCTAAGAATTGCTTATTAAGCTAGGTTGGATGTGATTTTTAATGTTGGTCTTATTTTGTCTTTTATTTTTGATTATATTACATCTATTGAAGTCATGTCATAGAAGTGATTTGTCCTATAAATATTTGATAAACAGGTTTGTATCTGAATGGTTTGTGGCTAACCATTTGAAAGTTTGCATTGTATATTTCTCTAACCATAGAAATGTGTGTCCTTAGAGCAGGAAGTGTGTTTTGATCCTTGTAAATTGACTTGTTTAAATCTGAAGTAGAATTTTCTTTTAGGTATGGCGATTCAGTACTGCATTTTGTTCTGTTAATGAGTGGAAATTTGCCGACATCCTCAGCATGGCTGACCACTTGAAGAAGTGCAGCTACAACATTGTGGAGAAGCGGGAGGAAGCCATCCCACTGCCGTGCATGTGCGTGACGCGGGAACTCACGAAGGAAGGACGTTCACTCCGCTCCGTTTTAAAACCTGTACTTTAAAAACTGCAGCTCCTCTTGCACATACCTGCAGGCACCAGTATAACTTCTTTGTAATATGTGACGCTTTATTAATGTATTAAAGATTACAACTAGCTAAATTTATTTTCACTATGTATATAATGTTTTGAAGTGACATATATTTTTATAAAGTACTGTTTAGTGGGGGAAAAGTTGCCTTAATGTTTGAGGTGTGTGAAATTTTTGGAACTTGGACAGGGTGACTTAATTTTTTGCTACATGATTTTCAGAATTAGTATTTTTAATGGTGTGCATATTTTGGTTCTTAATTTTTTTTTGCTTCTTAAACTAACAAGATCCTGACCAAACATATTTCCTCATGTTTTCTGTGGGCTACAACCCATATGTTCAAAAAGCAAAACTTTGATTCACATTCTTGCCGCATACATTTTTCAGATTTAAAAGTTCAGTTGCTTAAGATCATTGTAAAGATTTTGTCTTCTAGTGCTCCCCTTACGCAGTTAACATGCAGATGACCTCCGATGCAAACTCACACCACATTGAAAGTCGTGACTGTTTGGTAATGCCATTTACCGTGTTTTAAGAGCAGTTTACAAAGAAGTTTTCACCTTAGGTTTTACAGCTCTCATTCAGAGAGTGGTCCCTATGCCACTGTCCTGGTGTTAGACGCCACTTGCGTGTGAGACGCCACACCCAAAGACGCGTGGCCGTGTGTTACATGACAGGTTAAAGCAGAGCAAACTGGCAAAAAGCCTGTGAATTTATTTTAATTTGAAGCTCTTCGTGGTATTATTTGCTGGGTACTTGATGTAAGAAAAGAAGAAAATATACCTCATTTTAAGTTGGAATTGGGCATATTGTGTAAATAAATTTCAGATATTCAGACTGCAAAGGCCTTAACTTTTTTAATAAGCATTTAAAATTTTTGCTTTTCGTTTATAAAAATCACAATTATGTTATTGTAAGATATTTAAAAATGTGAAATGTGGTGTCTCTGTAAGATGACAATCGTGAAATGCAGAAGCTTATCGTGGTTGACAATCTCTTTAGAAGAGTTCCAGGTTAATTTTCTGTAGACCTCTCCGTCAGAAGAGTAGGAGTTGCATCTTTGTGTAAAGATCAGGGTATAAAAGGAAAATATTCAAAGACCTATTCTTGAACTATTTTATTACAGTTTTCAAGTTGATTAATATTATTAACCTGATGTGGTCAACTAAAAAAATGATTATATCAATATTTAGAAATAAATTGCAAAGATGGGGACATGTATTTAAATAATTTGTTTTAAGTAACTTCTGGCATTTGATAGTCTGAAACGGTGACAAGTTACCTTGTTATAAAATACCAAAACTCTTTTGTGTATTTTCTTCCTACATTTGTCCCTGAGAGTGCTCCATTGTTACTAGGTTCCTGATTCCCATATATGGCAATCCGGCTGGGCAGAGGCATTCCTTGGGCATTAGAAAAGAATTCTGAACTGTTTAGGACCTGTTTTGGTTGAATCAAGGCCTTATTACGGTTGAAAAATATAGCACTAAAGACTGATCAGTTGTTTGGCCTCACCTGACATTTTAATTAGAAGAAGACTTATTTCTCAGTGCATATATTTTCTCTTTCAACTGCAACTATATGACATAACCAGTCTCTATTTCTGTGTGAAAAAGTCAGAAATCAGATATCAAATACTGTAAAATACAGCTCTGCCTTTTAAAGTTTTGCTGAAGAATGTGTCTGGTTAGGATAGCACAAACATTAACTTTTTGTTTTATGGTTGTGCTTTTTAAAGTCCTTGGGTTTTAAATTTAGATTTCTTGTTTCTGTACTGGATCATGAGATGTTTAACATTTTTTCCACCTTATATTTCTTTTACACACCTTTGGCTGTTTTCTTTTTTGTTTGTTGTGCCACCATACTATTTTGTTAAAAATGTTTTCTTTGTGCAACATTTGTTCAAATTCTAATAAAATTAATATTTCCCTTTATATGGCTCAGTAACTTAAAAAGCAAAACTTTTATTTAAATAAAACTTTAATACTTGTTGGACAAATTCCAAACACATTCATATTGTTTCTATAGAGTGGATTTCTGCATGTTAATAGGAGTTGCTTGTTGATTATTACTCACCCATGTTTTATTGGTGAGCATTAAACTTCTCTTTTAATATGGAAAATTCATTAGTTAACTCTCTGTGTTTCCTCAGTGTCTTCTTGAAAGTAGTCCCACCTAGGGGTATTGAAAGGCTAAAGAGTTTACGGCAATATTATTTTTCTAAAGTTTGTAATGGGAACAATTTATCTAGCCTTTTAAGCATGAAAAGATTGTATGTCATCCAAGTAAACTGTCATTTGAGAAGTCTTTGTTATTTTGTTAGTGCTTGCTGACCGTCAAGATAAATGGCAAGTATCAGGATGGAGGGAAATAATCTGAAATCACTTTTCTCTGCTGCCTCCTTTCCCAGAATGACCTGTTATTTTAGTTCTCCTCTCCCTCCCTCCCCGTTTTCTCCCTCCCTCCCTCCCCCTTTCCTCCCTCCCTCCGAAACTCTGGGGTGGGAGCCAGCAATCTGTTTTAACAAAGCCTTCTCGTAATTATGATTCACAGTGAAGTGTGAGAACTTAGAGCAGTGATTTTCAACCTTTTCACCTCATGGCACATAGAAACTAGTTAGTAAAATCCTACAGCACACCAAAATATGTATTTTTGGCCCCTCTGACAAAAAGATAGGTATAATTTTGATCCATTCACACCTGGCTGTCGTCATTTTTTAAAATTGGACAATCTAAGGGAAAAGAGGTCAGTATTCCTGCCTAAATAGTCAGGGATTGCGTGTTTGAAAAATCCTTGTGGCACACCGGTTGAAAATTGCTGAATTAGAGGAGAGACTAGGACATGCCAGCTGTTGTCCTGAATGATGTGTTATTATTGGAGTAACCATGTGTGTGTACATATGTGTATAACCCAAAGTTGTGAGTTAATTCATGGTTAAGTTAAATGACATGTATTGTGTTAATATTATAGCCATATGACAAAAATACATTGGTATCATGGTTGGACGTTTTTTAAAAACTAGTATTTACTAGTATTTTAATGTAATGTTATTACTTGTTTCTTCTGTTCAAGGTAAATTGTAGTGCAATTTATAGTTCATTAGCACTTACATTAGCCTAGTTCCCATTCTCTTGTTTGGTGGTTGCAGAGTGATGTGAATGTATTAGATTTCTAGGATAAGTAAAGAGAGTAGAAGTAGACAAATACTATTTGTAAGATCCTCTCAACCTTATTAATGAGAGATTTTGAAGGTTGAACTGTTTATCAATAGCATAGAATCTTTTTTGCTCTTTGACACTGTGTTACATACTCCATCAATATTGTTGCTATTAGTCACCATTGCTTAACATTGGTTGTTGGGATCTTAGTAACATTGAAGATAATGGGGTTTTCAGTAAAACCTCCATATCCCTTGAAGACAGAGTAGATTTACTACTATATTGATAACAGATTTTCACCTCTGGTGATTTGAATGTAATGTTTGGCATTTGGAAGCAAAACACATTTAAGCTTTGCATTTCAACTTAAGACATGAGGCTTATTAATCTTAAAATTTTTCTAAGGAACAGCCATGCAAACATGGAAAAGATGTGTTTGTTCCGTGAGTGACACACCACATTGACAGGTGGTAAGACTGGGACCTGCAGTGGTGGCCGTTTAGAGTTGCAGTAGGAAGAAAACACTTGGCCCTCATTTTTTCAATAAGCTAGGCCCAGTCTTGGATGGAAAGAATGCGTTTGGCTGGTTAGCTAAATACTGTTCTAAGTAATTTTACTTGACATGCTCGTGAGGCCTGGGAAGAGAGCATGAGTTATTCTTGTAGAGAAAATCAGCTCATCAGTGACTTGTTCATTGTGTGTAAAACAATTCAGTATGGGTTTTGTTAGGATTTGAGCTAAATCTGATTTCAAACAAAAACATTTGAGATGTGTAAGCAGAGGCTGACTCCAGAGGAGTGAACTTGCTAAGTAAGGGAAGAGGAAGGATGGCTTCTTGCAGTCACCTTGTATGGAGTTATTTTCTTCGATTTACGAGATCAGAGTAAGTTCAAAAGATGTCCTTTCCAGTTTCCATTTTATGGATGAAAAAAACTGCAGTTCTCCAAGTTTAGCTACTGCTGAGTGTGTGGAGGTGTTTGAAAGAAATGTGTCCCAACGTGGTTTACTTTCCTACTTTACAAATACAGAAAGGGAAGGGATTTAGATATAAGAAAACTGCCTCAGAAAATGTTGCCTAGAATGTTTGATTCCTAATAAGCATTTCGGAAAGAACTTTGGGTCATACTAAAAAGAAAAATAGGAATTAAACATGATATGTTCTGAAAATTCTTTGCAAAAACTGCAGTCCTTTGCTGAATTTTTATAAGTATTTTACTACATCTGTGAGTAGTAAAATTCATAAATTCATTGTTTATATGTATATTTATTTGCATGTATAGTCTTCATTAATTGGCCAAGTAGGTTTTAATACATCTTGAGATATATAATGGAGATAAATGTTGAGGTGCTTTTTTTTTATCAATACCTTAGAACATTTCAAAACTGATATTTTGTATCCAGAATGATGTTGCAATGTATTATGTGGTGAGTGACTTTTCATTAATTTAATGAACTACAAAGAAATGGGTTACAGGGGTGATTCATGAAATGCTTTATAGAACTATGGTAAAAACTCATTGATATTTCTATTTTATATATTTTTTATCTTTTTGACTTGCTGGACTGAAGTCTCTATTCTTTACTGTGAAGAAAAGCATTTCTAAAGTAAACTGAAAAAACAAGGGAAATACATTTCTTTTTCATTAACACCAATAAAATCCTGAGCACCCCTCCAAGTAATTTATTAGCCCATTTGCATGCAAATATTATGATAGGATGTGATTCTTCAATACATAGGTAGTTCTAGTGGTGGTAATAGTGTATGTGTTTGAAAGTAACAAAACTGCCTTTCTGTTGAACTCCTTAAGACTGACCAAATCGTCAGGTCAAATTATCCTTTCCTAGTAAAAGCAAATTCATCAAGTTTAACTTTTTACCTTTTTCTAACATAAGTTGTTAGAATTTTTTTTTCTCCAACAATATCCGTAAACAGGTAAATAGGTTGATATGTGTTGGTTCATTTGTTGGCAGGTGAGCTGCCTCGAGTTAGATTTCTATACCCAGTCCAATTAAAAAGTGACATTAATTATTTCATTATTCAGTGGTCTCATATAAGAACAGAAGCAGTAACTTGTTATTGCTCAAAAGATTGGAGTTGAAAAAAGGAGATCCTGCCCTTTGCTGTCCTCCTAAATGCTTTTTTCATTGGAATCCTCCTTTCCATATCGATTGTCACTATTGCTTATTTATCACATATCTTTAATTTTCTGACCAGGTGATCAAAAATCCTAAGTACATAGTTTTATAAAACTTGTTTTGCTAATCAGTCTGTGATAAGTAGCTTTGGTTAATAAGTTTATATTTGATTAAGTAACTTCTTCAACTTCTTTTAAAGTATCTCAGCTCAAAAATGTATAGTATTGAATAACTGAAATTTTTTCAGGTTTAACCATATTCTTTGGTTAAAAGAAATCAAACCATAGAAATGGAAAACAATAAGTACTACATCTGGTCAAGAGTAGAATTACCGAGTGAATATTTAATTGTCAGCTGGATGGCTTTATGTCAATTCATAATTTTAAAATTGATTTAAGATTGTTACCTGTGTTAGAAAGAAATTTGAAATAAAGTGGGAAATAGTACTGATTCCCTACAACATTCCAATAGGCTTGTGATGAAAACTCTGACCTATGAAAATAAAATGCTTTGAACAATTAATAATTTGGAGGACATAAGTCCTAAGTATTTTTGTGCTGCATATGAAATGGTACAGGTGGATTGTTCATTTGATCAGTGTTCAAGCACCAGCCAGTCCTGGAAACTTGAATTGCATTCTGAAGTGTAATTGCACTGACTCGTTTACCTCAGATGTTGTATCTTTTCATGATTTACATTGTTTCCTTCTCAAATGCGAAAGGATATGGCTTTTCTTGAAAAAATACTAAATGAAAGAAGCTAGACAAAAAAGGCCACATATTGTGTGATTCTGTTTATGTGAAATATCCAAAATAGGCAAACCCACGGAGACAAATTAGATTAATGGTTGCTAGGGGCTGGGGAAGTGATTGCTTAATGGGTACTGGTTTCCTTTTGGTGATGCAAATATACTGGAACAAGATACTGTTGATTGCACAGCATTGCGAATGTACTAAATGTCACCGAATTGTACACCTGTGGCAGTAATTGGCTTCAGTATCAATGTTCACTTTTCATCTTTACGTTTTCTTATAATTCCTTGTGGCACGTCTCAATTTAAAGGTCCATATTTAATATCATGCTTTGAAAAATTTATATAATTTTCAGGATTATTTTTTATAGTTTTATACTTTGTTTTCCTTTTAAAGAGAAAATACAATGATGTGATAGATAAGACTTAATAAATTGAAGTAATGTATACATTTTGTATTCTTTTCTATTGTCTTGTGGGAAAAAACATTTGAATTTTGGGATTGGTAGGTACTTCAATGGTCATTTATTTTTTTATTTTAAATTTGGAGAAATCCAAGCTTAGTCTGTTAGGGTGTTCATGCAACAATCGTTTATGGAGCTCATGCCTGCACTGTGTAGGCTTGGTTCTGGAAGGTTGTGACATGCCTAAAGTTACGCAGGAATTACTACTTCCCCTTCCCATTCCCTCCTCCTCCTCTTCTCTTATTCTTCTCCCCCTCCTACTCTGTCTCTGATAACTGTGCCACATGCATGGACAAAGGGACAAGTTCCAGAGAAGGGGATGCTCTAGGCAGAGATTCACTTAAAATGGTTTTTCCCATAACTCTTCCCTAAACTCTTTAAAGATATGTTCTTTAGTACAGTTAAGTACACGTGAGCACAAATAATCTTTTACTTAAATGCAATTAACGTTTACTTCCATGACCTTGGGAAAGAGGAAATTACAGGTTCCCCCCACTATTCAAAAGTAGAGTGTTCCTATGAAAACTTTTGCAAGCTGAAATGGTGTAAAGCAAAGAAGCAATTAGCATTAATTTATATGAAAAAATTAGCATTCCCAGACCCCCAAAATAGCTTACCAAATTATACCAAATAATGCATAAAACTTAAAATAAGACTAACATATAGCAAAAGCAGGAATGATATGATAAACACAGACCATAAAAGAAAATAATATATGCACAGTGTAGTTCCACTTACTAAAAACACTAATTTCCTCTTAAGTGTTACTTAATGGAACTCCATGCTTTGTATACAAGCTGGTACCAATCCAAACAAGATACTTTCCATTTTATGTACTCCTGGGTGCCGTCTAAAAGAGACCATTTTGCTACTAGCAGAATTGATAGTAACTTGGGCAGCTTTCAAGACGTTTTCTGCATGTAAA